TAAGACCAAAAACTAATAACCTGGAAGGGTAAGATGCAAACCCAAATCATCTGGCCATAGAGCTCAAGATTTTTATACTATCCTGAATGGCTTTTTAGACCATATTTAATTTCTGAATTTGACTCAGAAGGATATTGACATAGCCAGTTTATAAGGTGAAGGAAAATAGGTTTTTCTTCCTTCCAAATTACATAATTGATACCACATTTACTATTTATGTTTAAAGTTTTGAAATGGGAGTTTAAGAATTTTATCACATCTATATAAAGATTTGTGTTTGAATAAACATGTATGATCCAATTATTGGAGCTCGTGATTCCCTTGTGCAAAGATTCTAGATGCTGATCCCATGTAGGCTGTTGACTCACTTTTCAAACCCTGGCACCTCCATAATCCCAGCTGGAAAATTAGGTAAAATAAAAACATGACCTCATTAAGAAGCAGATGCTTCATCTAAGCAGTGCTTTCCCAAGTAAACACATTACAGAGCTTCTTGTGACATTTTTTTAGGATGTGGCGCTATGTCCCCTTGACCATTGGTCAGCTTGGGATCAGGAGACAAGAGCTTGAAATTCTGTTTAATTTGCAGACCAAAGTTTAGAAAAATAACCAATTTCCCTCTTGAGGTTAACATTATAAGTCAGCCCTAGTTTGTACAGTAATACTTGAATTTAATAAAAAGCCAAACAAATAGTTTCCTTTATAGTAAAGTGTCTTTACCTGGCTGTACATTGTCCCAGATTTTCTAAAATCAGATTTCACAATTCACTTGTGAATTTAAGGAAACAAGATGCTCTTTAAATCTGTATTAGGAATTGCAAAGATAAAATTTATTTAATAAAATGTCACTCATTTGCTAATTTAAAAAAAAGGATAATGATACCAGAAAAATGATCAGGTGACTAACTATGTTATTTCTGAGCTAACAGCATAATGCAGAATTTTGACCCTATAGACCTTGCGTTGACATAATTTACCACTAAATTTATTTTCTTAGTATAATTCAAATAAACTTCTTCTTGACATTTCTTTGTGTGATAGGCACTCAGTAACAGGACTGTTGTATTTATGAAATAATTTAATATATATTAAGAATAGATGAATATTTTCTACAAAAACACAATTTACACTTTGACTTTTATTCATGAACTTGAAAAGCAAAATACAATTCTGAAGTGTTCATCACTTGGAAAAATACTTGTGTTTTAAACAGTTGCATTATTCCCTTATTTTCACTCTGGCTTATGTCCCTCTCCTTTCTAAAATCTTGTTTAATATGTAAATACAGGATGCCATTAACAAGTGCATCCATTACATAACTGTGATTGTCCCTTAATTGCCTCAGGATTTTAGGTGAGAAGCTTCCAATTACATCAGCAAGAATTAAAGATTTGCTAAGAAAGACAGACAAAATACATCAAGCAAACTGCTTTTCAATCTTTGCGTATTTCCTGATTAAATATAGTTGCAAATACAAATACTAATTCTGCCCTAAAGCAAGACTTTGGGACTTCTACTTTAAACCCTGACAGTGAATTGCTGCCTCTAAACCCACCTCTGCTTTTTCTCTCACTAGGAAATTTTCATGTCCTCAAATCTCTTCTTTAACCCTTCCAAATTGCTTTGAATTCTCTCTTCCCTTCTCTTCCAACACTCTGACTCTCCAAAAAGAAATATTTCTCCTTTCCAAGGGTAAAGACTGACTTTCAATGTGGTTTCCTGATTCCATTCCCTTGTCTCCTCCAAGACTTCACCCTTCAATTAACTCTGTTGGTCTCTATTGCTCTAAAAGCTCATCATAAAATACAGTTTAATGTAAACAACAAATTACTTTAGGCATTGTAAACATATTCTTCAACACTACTTTATATTCTTTACGTGTGATTTTACTCTCTGGGGCAGGAATGTCTAAACCCCATCTGCTGCTAATTCTCCCAGAGGCTGCTTGATGAAGAAATTCTTAATCACCAAACCACACCATTCATGTTAAACATCTCTGTGTGTGATTTATGAACAACCTCTCTTTAAAAAGGCAGATGTCTGAAAAGCTAAGAGCTATCTTAGGTGATCGGTATAAATTTTGATTCAGCTGGGGCATTACATTTTCAATTTCCTAGAGTCTGGGTTTTCTCTGTTAAAAAGCTTTCGGTATCATAGCGTGCTGTGAGTGCCACTTTAAAACAGCTTATGCCTGAAATTTCAGGGCTCAACAATATTAGCCAATTTCAAATTGACAATAGATGTCTTAGCATAATTGATTGGGGGCTCACATCTGAAAATACCACTCCTTTTGCTGTTCCCTGTTTTTAGTATGTCTGTCACGTCTTTCCTGAAGAGCATCCAAATATCCCTCACATTGATCTTCCCTTTCATATCCTGTCCAGCTCCTGAGGGGAAGTCACATGGATCTCTCTGTGTCCTGGTTCCAGCCACTCTGGAGCTGGCTGCCTGTTTCTTTGGGTGCTTAACTGTTCTTGACGTTGCCCATGGCTCTCACTGCTCTTGAGAGAGCATCCTCTCCTAGACAGCTGACAAACTTTCTTCATGGGGGACAGAACCTTCACTCACCCTCAAAAGAGTCGGTCTCTTTCAATTGACCTTCAGGCAGTCTGTTTCTGCCTGATACTTGGAGGTTGCAAAAAATTCACATCTCCTTTGACCTCTTGCTGAGGTGGAACTAAGCTTTGTTAGTGCCCAGAATGGCAGTCTTGTCTGCTAGAATTTCCTATATATATCTTTGGGGGAAATTAAGTTATATTGATAAATTAGTAAGTTCGGGAGCATAAAATTCATAATAGTATGCCAAATAGCATGCCAAAAGATTTGTAAAATTATGCCAAAATATTTAAAATTAAACTGCTTTGTTTACATAATTGAAACCTTTAAAATTATATGCCTCACCTCTCTGTACTCTCTTGGGCCCCTCAGAGTGAATTTAGTGTTTGCCATACGGCCTATATTTTAAATCGGAATTCTAAAATCTACCCTCCAAATGAAGTGAAAATCCCTTGATACAATGATAGAAATGCATATGGAAGTACTATCTATTTATATAGATTTAGAGGAAAAGACTATTACTCCATTAAATAAGTATGAATATCTTATTAAATAGAATGAAAAAGTCACATTTTTAAATATAAAATCTGGATTGAAACAAATGTTATGTTGCACAGGTCACTGTGGGCCACATTCCTTCTCTCTCTTCTATGCCAGAGGAAAAATCTCAAGTGTGAAATTTCCACACAAATCCCACATTTGTCAGTGTTAGCTGACAAATATACCTTGGAAAAGTTTAGGAAGCACAGACCTGCACTATCAACAAGTGTTTGGTGTGCTAAATAACTTTAAGTAGTTTTTAATAAGACATAAGTGAAAGATTCTGTTTCTTCTGTGAGCCCTGAGTTCTCTTGAAAACTCAACTTACTACTCAAAACTTGGAAGAGCCTCTGAAAATTTTCTTTGCATGTTATTTGGGACAAACTTTATAGACTATAATGCACATTTATGCAAACAAAACGTAAGTGGTGGTGGGAAAGTTTCCCAAAGAAAACTTTCTTGTCTAATAAATACTATTGAAGTAAATATCTGAATAAATAGCATAAAAATGTGGAGACTTGGAAGGTCACCAAGCCCTTGGCCACTTAATTTCAACCATAACAGCAGTCCGTTGCTCAGTGGACAATTTTGTTATGAGGTGTTGGTGATTTAACAAGTTGACCAAAAGTGGTCGGAATCCAGCATGAAATATTTCATCTCTGTTGAGTTTTATTGGTGTGCACTGGACTCTTTTGATAGAATGGCCAAAGTTTCTGCATTTGGCATTCAGGAATCCAAGGAGAACGCAGTCATCAATTTGCTATAGTTATTTTCTACATTTTTTTTAGTGGTTTGTATATCATTCCAGGGAGCTTTGTTAAAAGCTCTACTAAAATGATTTGTTGTTTACTCTTTGGAGTTTCTACTGACTGCTCAAACTACTGTCCCAGATTTATTTAAACAGCATTTTAGATTTATTGGAGAATATCATTTTGTCTTTAGACTATATGAAAATTGATCTTATGTAATAAAAAGTAATTTACTCAGATCATAAGAATGTGGTTATACTGTGAAATAATATCTAGCTTAATAGAATGAATATGGCATTTACTGGGATTGCAGACTACATATTTGGGAGACTTAAGCACAAATATCAACTGGCTGAATGGTTTTAAACAGTCATCTACCTTCCCAGTATTTGTTTTCTCTGCAAGCTGTAACACTCCATGATGGGCATCTTGGTATTTTAGACATTTCCTAAATGTAGACAGGTATATTTTCAAAATAAGTTATATGCTTGTGAGAATAGTATACATTCACAACTCACTAAATAACTAACAGAAATGAACAGGTGAAGCAAGCTTACATTTGCATGGAACTTGAAAGTTCCTCGTTTCACTTCACTCTTTTTCCCTCCCCTAGTTCTCTCTTGTCTAGCTACTTATTTACTTGACTAAGAAAATAGAAGTCATTGACATTCAAAAACCATCTATTAAGTGTTTGCAACTTGCACAGCATTAAGTTAAATACAGAGGTTTCAACAGTGTGTGGAGGAAGATGTACTTTGATCTCATGGGGTTTGATCAGAGGAGGCAGAAAATTAGACAATCACAATAATATGTGGTGAGGGCTATGACATAATCCCACAGTTGTCTCACAAACTCTGGATTCTAAGTAAGGCTTTGTTTCTACATGTCACTGAGCATATGTGATCCAGATGAATTATGGGAACATCTACTCATTAGATTAATTTTTCAATTTTCATCTAAATATTCACCAAAAGTAACTGCTACACTAACTACATGCAGCTTTTATTTCCCAGGGGTCCCATCCTTGGGTAAGAAGGCAGTTAAAATGAAGTCATCTACACATGGTGAAAAAAATCAAGCACTAGCACAATGGTCATGGGAAAACAGAAAAGCACAATCACCCGTTATTTTCACTTCCTCTGTTCTGTCCCTCAGGACACCTGCTTGGCCTCTCCCATGACGATTCCAAATTCTGTGAAGAAAATTTTGGTTCCTCGGAAGATAAGCGCTTAATGTCTTCCATCCTAACCAGCATTGATGCATCCAAGCCCTGGTCCAAATGCACTTCAGCCACTATCACAGAATTCCTGGATGATGGCCACGGTATGTATCATTCAGGACAACATAAGCCGAGAAACGGGAGTTTTACTTCATTAAATCTTCATAGCATTCATCTTGCCCTCTAAGACAATGGGTTGTTTAGATACTGTCGGAAAAAGGAGCAAGGAAATTGATTGTCTACTGGCGTGTAATGCCAACATCCTTGGTGGCATTCTAGTTATGGTATTTTTGCTTTTGAATTGAAAAAGTTCAAAGGAGAAGCAGTGTGGGAGACCACACAGAATGCCTAGCCAGTGCCCTGAAAGCCTGGCTTTTATTCCTTCTTTCACCACTAGCTTCCTGTGAGAACTTTGGCAGACATGTTGATTTCCCTGCTATTAATATGACTCTCAGAATTATTTGTTACATGCCCATTATAGGGCTATGGTTAAGTTGTAGGTGACAATTCTACCAGTTTCTCTTTATGGCAACATAAAGCCAAGAAAGGAAGCTCTCTCATTTGCATTGACTGGAAGAATTTGGTTTCATCATGACAGCAGATTCTCCTGACAGTGGAGTGAAGACTACATGCAGAACAGAAATAGAAAAGCAATCGGATTGATGGGAAAACACTTTAAGAACTTCAAAGGAAAATCTTTGGCTTTATACTTTAGATGCAGTTCAAGATCACAGAATATTTTTATTAAATTCTGTAAGACTAGGATTAGTGCTATAAATTATATAAAAATACTGAGGAAGTCACAGTTTTTTAGAAATAATAAATACTGACTTCCAAGTAATCTTTGAAACAAGCTGTTGCAAATTTTCTTGCGTTCTTTATTACTTTAAAATAATATTAACACAGGAGGATAAATGCTTTAGGGTTGAAAAAGATCTTCAGAGATCATGTAGTTCAAGTTTTTTTATCTTACAGAAATGGACACATTCTCATATCTTTTGTTCTTTTAAAATTTGTCTTTTTTCTAAAACTTATGGTTAAGTGAATATGACAGAAATTCTTGATCATCATAATTTTCCATAAGATTTTCTTCTGATATCTGGCTCAATACCAAATAAAGAGAATCTGTGATAACTGCCTTTTTCCTAGTTCCACAAAGTTTATGACAATATTTTCATAATTTCTTAGTGTGTTGACCATCTTGAACTTTGGCTACATATTGTCATAACAATTGAAAAATTCAATTCATTTCAGACAAAAAGAAATTCAACTGCACAGTTTTTTGATACCATATAGCTGAAATCTCTTCATTAACTCATTCTTGGATACATTAGTGGTGAACTAGCAAGGCTACTTGCTACTATGTATTTAAGTCTTCCAAGTCCTAAAAGCAATCCAGGTCCAGCTTGGTTTAAAATTTCTCTCAATATAAAATAAATGTTCTTTGTTATTAGTTGAAAGGACATTCTAATATCTTAAAGATTTAGAAACAATAATAAGAATTAGTGTATTAAGCTTTACTTTTATACTAATAATAAAATGGTAGTTTTATGTTTAGCTGAGTTTACAATGTAGATTAAATGTAGATAAAGTTCTGAAATTAATACTGCCTTATTATCTTCCTATCTACATTTATAGGAACAATATCTAATACAGTCTCTCTTGGGTAGAATCTTAAATCTCCACTCTTAATATTGCTTTTGCTGTTTCATTCTTTTCAGGTTTTCTGAAAATAAAATAACATTAATATTTTATTCCAAAATCACGTTACACATTCCAAGAAGTTGAGCTAAATTTTGAATCACTAAATGAATGGATTTAGTTGCTAAGGCAGCAAATACTTATGGCTAAAATGGGACTAATTTTTTTTCCTGTACAAGTATTAGGTCAGCTAATTACAATGCTGTGCAGAATTTTGTTCTTTATTGCCATAATTTTGGAATGATGCCTTTATTTCATGTTTATGGAATTTGTGATCCTACTTTATGTGCAGTAAATAGCTTTCAGCATTGTCTTCATTTGTTAACATTATTTCTATATTTGAAGAAGTCCATACTCTGATTTTTTTTAAAAATTACAACAAATTTACATAGTTTTTCATCTCTGTTTCCATCCCAAAGGACTCATGATAAAGAAAAACTAAAACATAACTTAGTATAAATAGATCTTCTTTATTTGCTCTGATAAAAAATTATCTGAATTTCCCAGATGTCTATTAAATAAATAAATTCAATTACCAAAATTCTTTGGACAGAAACTATCTATAGTTTATTTATTTATTTATGTCATTAAATATAGACTGTCTCGTTTTTTAATATGTTGGTTTGATTAGGCAGTCTTTCTTTTTCAACCAAAAAACAATTCTATTTTATCAGTAGCCTTTAATGAATAAAGTAAGTTCAGAATGATTAAAAAAAAAAAAGAAAGAAAGGAAATGTGGCAAAATGGCAAAGCTCAACTATGTCTTATTTCATTTCAAAACTGACATATGTCAGTTTAAGTGAAAGAGTGGACATAGAAACTAGCAAACCCAATTTTGAGATGATTGAGGTTCTAACATTATAACTACAGAACTTAGAAGAGAGCTAAGAAGAAAATCAAAGCCCAAGAAGGCAGAAAAGCAAATAAATTCATCTTAGTCAGAAGATTAAGCTGATATCATGAAACTATACTATAAGATTTTTAAACTTTACTCACAGTGAGCTACTTAGGTTTCCACTTAGAGCCCATACATTCATATTTTACAGACCTACTATTTTTCTGTTTTAACTTTTTTTTTTTGAGACAGAGTCTCACTTTGTTGCCCAGGCTAAAGTGAGTGCCATGGCGTCAGCCTAGCTCACAGCAACCTCAAACTCCTGGGCTCAAGCGATCCTGCTGCCTCAGCCTCCCAGGTAGCTGGAACTACAGGCATGTGCCACCATGCCCGGCTAATTTTTTCTATATGTATTAGTTGGCCAATTAATTTCTTTCTATTTATAGTAGAGACGGGGGTCTCGCTCTTGGGGTCAGGCTGGTTTCTAAGACCTCGAGCAGAGCAATCCGCCCGCCTCGGCCTCCCAGAGTGCTAGGATTACAGGCGTGAGCCACTGCCCCCAGCCTGTTTTAACTTTTAAGGTAACTAAAAGTAAAATAGCATGTCTGGTGGGGGTAGGAAGACTTTAGATAGGTAAACTGAGAGCAAGAAGTGACATCATTTGACCGTAAGGGGAAATCCAGAAAGCTGTAAAATTTAGCCCAAGAACATGAAACACACAGTAGCCTGGTACCATTTCCTAAAAGGTCAAAAACTCTGTCACACCAGCATGATCCTAAATGTACCTGTATATTTCAGCATGATACAATAATTGATACACAGAAAAAAATTATGTTCTGTTTTCTAGGAAAGTTAAATTGTGACTAATATAAAAGCAGCAAAGGCAACTGTTACATTTAAGTAGATACTTCCACAGAATTTATATAATTTTTAGTGGTACCTAAAGAGTACATTATAAATGCAATATCTATTTACATGTAATATCTCATCCCTCCCCCCTCACCTCCAGCAATACCAGAGAAATGAGGTCACAGGGTAAAATTAAATTCAAAGTATCTGATTTATTTTTAAAGTTATTAGCCATAAGTAGCTGGACATTTGTGGCACTCGACCACTGCCAAATTTAAATTCATTAGTACTGAGTGTTTCCTGATTTAGTTCCAACAAGAAATATGCAGCAATTAGGTTATGGTTGAAAAGCTAGAGTGCTCACTCTAAAGCAACTGTGTCTGCAGATTTGTGATTCAGAAAAGGAGAAGCCATGCCCCATGGGACTCCTCCACCAACCCTGGCCAAGATACTTGTAGACATTCCGCTGCATTTATACAAGTTAGCTCTAGGCAAGCTGGCTAGAAGTAGGATCCTCAAAAATAAAGGTAAGCACTGGCAGAGAAATTGTGCAGTGAAAGCAGGTTATTGAATTTCCTTTCTCAAATGCTTAATAACCTTGAAGCCAAAAAAGATAGCTGTGTCTGCTGCATGCCTGAGTTCACAGTGCCAGATAATGAGAAAGGCCACCACCTAAGTACATAGAGCTCTCAAAAGCACTCACAACACAAGCTGCTAAAGAAAACCTAGAGATTTTTTGAAAAATTACCATGGTAGCTAACATATTTAAAGAGCTAAGTGTACAGCCACTTACTGAACTCAGAACTTTGGACATAAAATGATATTAGAAGACCAGTTCTCTGAATTCTTTGTTAAGTATAGACTGTAAAGCTAGCAATAGGAGCTTAACATCAGTTTTTAGGGTGGTGTTAATAAAATCCAAAGCCTATTATGGTTGTATACTGACTTTGACAATAAATATATTATTTAAAAGAGTTTGCAAATAAGATGTATATTTTAAGGCCATAGTGACCTATATTTTTTTTTAAAGTTTCCTTCATCCTGTAATCACGGAGAATTTGAAATCTAATTCCCCTCCCAGTACATCTGCTAAACAGTGCAAAAAGGCTGCTTGGATGTTACCTCTGGTTAACAACAATTGTCTGTTCCTTTTTCAGTGCCCTTGTTTGGTCATCTGTCACTGGGCCCAAAGTGAGTCATCAAAGAGCAGGAAAATGCACCATTTTCTTTCTTAATGTTGGGCATTCAATGAAAGACTTAAAAGCAGAGGTGTAAGGGCAGAGAGGTAAAGAAAGGAAGCAAAAGGGAAGAGAGCAGGCTGTAGTGTGAGGAATTTCCGGATGAGTTTCTTTAGGAACATGAATTGATTTCTCCTAAGCCGTGGATATTGGGCTGATGCTTAATTCATGCCTGAGTACTGAAAAGTAAGGGAAGATTGAAATGACTGTAGTGCTAGAAATAGAGAAAAAATACGAAAAGGATAAAGAGCAACTTGGATAATTTCTATTAATCATTGATTTGACAGTACTAGAAGTCAGACATGTAAAACCATAGATTTTTCAGTTCCATTTTCTAGAGGTGTAACGACCCTTCCATCACCCATTAGGGACTTTTGTGACCACGGACAGACTACCACATGCTTTGATTTGTCCATCTCAAATCACTGCGTCTTATGTTTTAAGTTTTTGCTTTGTTTAAACATTTAATGTAACATGGATAGTAAGAACATATATACAACATGCACACATTTCTATTGACTTTCTTTTATAAGCTATCTCTATGCACAAAATGTTAAAATCAAAAGAAAGGAAGAAAGAAGGAAGGGAGAAGGAGAGGGAGGGAGGAAGGAAGAAGCACCTTGCCAATATGTGGAACAGAACAAACACAAAATGTTGGCAGCAAAGCCCAGATAGAATGTCAGACTTGGGTGAATTAAGCATATGTGAAGTAGCTATGAAGAAGTGGTCGAGAATAAAAGTAAAACAGATCAGGAAAAAGTCAGCAGTAGGTTTCATGCCTTTAGAGGTCAATATAAATGATACAAAAAGATTGATCAATTTCCCTTTTTACCCCTCCCCAAACTATATACATTTTAAAAAATGGCAATGTATATCCAATCCACTATTATTTAGATATTACATATTTTATACTGTGAGATTCAGAATCAGACTCAATATTGATTTTTTATTGTTCTTGGGCACCACACTTCCCTTTGGTAGTGATGTCTGTACCTTTTTGTTGTAAAAGGTCATAATTCAAAATAAAAATGAAATCAATAGACTATACACTTCTTCAGGGGTAAACAGAAACTGATGCAGAACTAATTTGGGTAGTGAGGACTTTGGGGTAATAAAATAATGGCAATTCCGAAATAAATCATTTTATTTTAAGAAACAAAAAGTCATCTCCACATGTATAACCTCTAAAGGAAAATCGTAGAGCTAATATATCTTCTTTTTAATAACAAAGTAAACATGTTATTTCTAAAGATCATATTTCCAGATTAAGCTTTGTGAAGAGATGCCACATGTTAAAGTCTACTTGTAAGCTGATTTCAAAGTGTTTACATTATATATTTCTTTTGACTCATCATCTACTAGTGAAGTAGAACAGGTGTCAATGACTGTGTATCTACAGTCAGGTGTAAGTTACTTTGGCGTGAGATAAATGAGGTAGACCCATGCCACGTGCACCCACACATGGTAAAGCTTCCTAGCTAATATTTAGTTATCCAGTCTCACAGGCTGTGCTTTTTAGTAAAATAAAAAAGTTTCTTAAAACAACACTTTTGAAGAATTGGAAAGCATTCTTGCTGATTCAGAGATTTGTTGATAGTCTTCTAACATCAGCAATCCACCAAGCATGCCTTGGTTTACACAGCACTCCTTTTTATGTAGCAATAAAGATAACGTTTTTAATGGGGTTCTGAAACGCCTAATCTTACTCTGTCCTGTAAACAAAGCTTAGTGAGGTTTTACTATCATTCTTTCCTATTGACTTGATGCTTTTCTTTGAACTAGATGTTTTTCTCCCAGAGTTCTCTTTGGCTAAATACTTATTTTTAATGCTTTTTCTGGCCTGCCTTAAGAAACTTTACCTCTTCAAATGTTCTGGCTCAAAAGTTAAATAGGAACTTTGCTCTTTAGTCATTTTCATATAATGTCTCCATCACAGATTGACAAATTCTAAGATATTCACTTTGAAGAAACTTTAAATGTAGTTGTAAAAACATTTGCAGTATACTTAAAATGTGCTGAATATTCTATTTCTCAGTGGAACATTAGGGTTTAAACATGATTTTCTTTTGCTGAATACAAAGAATAACTCTAATACATCTAAAATGTGGTTAAATACGTTGGAGATAGAACCAACTATCATTGTTTCATATTTTTCTGGTTACCCTTTATATCTGTCTTAGCTAATTTTATGTTTATAGTATACCAGTGAGAAGAGAAACATTTCACAGATCTTGAAAATAAATTAGGGAGAGATTAACTAACTTGGCCAACAGCACTCAGCCATTAGTGTTCCTCTAGCATTAGACTTCAGAGGGAGTGTTTCTACCATTAGGCTCAACATCCCATCACTTAAGGGATCTTTGTACATGCCTGCCCTTCAGCAGTGAAGTAATATCCACATGCTAAGAGAGGCCATACAGTATATGACGAGGGGGGCAGGCTCTGAGCATAAAACCCTAATAGCTATGTGATGTTGGGTAAGTGATTTATTTTTTACATTCCTCAGTTTCCTTATCTGTAGAATAAACAAAATATGTAATAGAATCTGCCTCATGGGGTTCTTGTGAGGATTAAATAAACTAATAAATGTAAAAAACTGACAATAGTGTGTGTAACAAATATTTATTATTATTGTTATTGATATTACAATCAGCATATACATCCTAAAATCAAGTAAACAAAAAAAAATGACTGAAATGGATGGGCCATATGCAAGCATGCATGGGTATATAACAAGAGAAAATTAATGGTGTTAACTGGCTGGGCAGGGAACCCTGGGGAAGGCTTTTGGGGAAGGGGAGGCACATGTCAGCTTCTAGATTTGTATCATCTGTGTCCCAACTTCTGTGGTTTCCCAATCTCAGTCCTGTTTGCCTGTACTGCCCCACATGCAAGCAGTGAGACACCAACTTGGCAGATGCTCCAAATGCCCAACAAATGCCAATTCAATTCAATAGCAGACAAAGAGGGAACAAAAAGGAGAAGAGTATAAAGATAGGCCTAAATTATCAAAAATTTGTTTTTTTTTTCTTCTCCCATCACTCCTTTGTTCTGCAAATCTTGAAAGCTTTAAATTAAAGTTTTTATTGGTCTGAGAGAAATACTTTATTTAGTCTATCTCCTTTGCTTGATCTGGATCATTTTTCTGTATTCTCAATACCTAGTATGTTTTCTAGAATATCATAGGTGCTGAGCAAATGCTTGCTGAGTTAGTGCAAAAATGAATGAGGTACCACCTTAGTTATTATTTATGGAATTAGTGGAAAGGAGACATGCAATAAGCACATGGGGAAGAGGTAAGTTGGAAATGGAGATTGGGTTATAAAGAGAGGGCAAAGGACAGACAAACTCTGTTTCTTGAAATTGTAGAGTAAATGCTTTTATTATTATTATCATTAAAGTTCACTATCTGATTTACTCTAGGTCTTTCCTAATTTCTTTTAGTGCCTCAGCACAATGGCTATTTCCCAACTAATCATTACAAATTTTATTTCATCATCCCACTGCCAGCCCCACCTCCATCATTATAGATACTGCAGAGTGTGTCACCCACTGTGAATTCTGGGGTGTGTTGGTGAGTCTGAGGAGGTGCCCAGCCTCAACCTTCATGGAATGCCTTCTCCAGAGCCCCACAGTGCGATGGATTCATGGATGACTCATGCTTCAACACCAACCAGAGCATTTCATTTTTAGGTCCATGATTTTAGTTATTTGAAACGTGCAACCCAGAGCAGTGGTCAATCTTGGTTATTCTTTCAGGCAACTGCTTGCTAGACCTACCACGAAAGCAGATCCAGGGCCCTGAAGAACTTCCGGGACAGACCTACGATGCCACCCAGCAGTGCAACCTGACATTCGGGCCCGAGTACTCGGTGTGTCCGGGCATGGACGTCTGCGCTCGCCTGTGGTGTGCCGTGGTGCGCCAGGGCCAGATGGTCTGTCTGACCAAGAAGCTGCCCGCTGTGGAGGGAACACCTTGTGGAAAGGGGAGGATCTGCCTACAGGGCAAGTGTGTGGACAAAACCAAGAAAAAATATTATTCAGTAAGTGATTTTCTCGTCACCCAGTGCCTGGAGACCCAAGATGTGAAGTGCATTCCCATGACATGTGTGGGCATTGTCATCAGATTGTTTTATTTCCTAGTTAAAATATTTTGGGGGGTGTTTTTAATTTCAGCATCTTACGGGAGTACAAATGTTTAGGTCACATATATTGCCTTTGGTCCGCTCAAGTCAGAGCTTCAAGCATGTCCATCCCTCAGATGGTGTGCTCTGCACCCATTAGGTGTGAATATACCCATCCCTTTCTCCCCCCCCCACCTGCCCGACACCCAATGAATGTTACTACTATATATGCACTTAATTGTTGATCAAGTAATACCAATTTCATGGTGAGTACATGTGGTGCTTGTTTTTCCTTTCTTGTGATACTTCACTTAGTAGAATGGGCTCCAGCTCTATCCAGGATAATACAAGAGGTGATAGATCACCATTGCTTTTTGTGGGTGAGTAAAACTCTGTGGTATACATATACCACATTTTATTAATCCACTCATGTATTGATGGGCACCTGGTTGTTTCCACATCTGTGTGATTGTGAATTGTGCTGGTATAAACATTTGAGTGCAGATGTCATTTTTATAGAATGTGGTTTTTTTTTCCTTTTGGTAAATACCTAGTAGTGGAATTGCTGAATCAAATGGCAGTTCTACTTTTAGTTCTTTGAGATATTTCATACTACTTTCCATAGAGGTTGTACTAGTTTGCAGTCCCACCAGCAGTGTATGAGTGTTCCTATCTCTCTGCATCCATGCCAACATTTATTGTTTTGAGTTTTTTTGATAAAAGCCTTTCTCACTGGAGTTAAGTGATATCTCATTCTGGTTTTGATTTGCATTGCCCTGATGATTAGAGATGTTGAGAATTTTTTCATGTTTGTTGGCCATTAGTCTGTCTTCTTTTGAAAAGTTTCTGTTTATGTCCTTTGCCCACTTTTTAATGGGCTTGATTTTTTTTATTTTTATGAGTTCTTTACAGATTCTAGTTATCAGCCTTCTATTGGATGTGTACCATGCAAATATCCTCTCCCATTCTGTAACTTGTGTGTTGCTCTCCTGACAGTTTCCTTGGCTGTGCAGAAGCTTTTAAATTTGATCCAGTCCCATTTATTTAGTTTTATTGTTGCTGTGATTGCCTTTGGGGTCTCCTTCATAAATTCTTTCCTTAGGCCTATGTCTATAAGAATTTTTCCAACACTTTCTTCTAGAATTCCTATAGTTTCATGCCTTAGGTTTAAGTCTATTATCCACCGTGAGTTGATTTTTGTGAGAGGTGCGGATCCTGTTTCAGTCTTCTACATGTGGCTATCCAATTTTCCCAGCACCATTTATTGAATAAGGATTCTTTTCCTTAGTGTGTGTTTTTGTCTCCTGTGTCAAAGATTAGATGGCTACATGAGGATGGTTTTATGTCTAGATTCTCAGTCCTGTTCCATTGGTCTATGTCTCTGTTTTTGTGCCAGTCCATGCTGTTTTAGTTAATATAGCCTGTGGTATAAGCTTCATATTTTACCCACAGTAGCCATTCTCAGTAATCAAATTCTGAAGAAAATACAGATAATAGGAATTTATTTGCAGGTTATATTCTTTAACAAATAATTATATAACCCAGATTCTGTCCAATAGAGATCCCAAGTAGGACTCTGCAAGTTGCTTTTAAAAGCTCACTTTCAAACTTTCCTTGCTAAAGTTACCAGAATACATTTATTGAAATTCAGTAAGGAAATAATAGCAGAGCTCACACATATAGTCCTCATAACATTTGGTGAGCTCCAAAATGATAATTTTTTTTTCCTCATAGTAAGTTAATCTAAATTTAGGAGCTGAAGTGACTTAAGACTGCTCCAGGGAAACCCGTCTGTCACCACGTACACAGTCCAACATTAGGTCAGCTGCCCTCTTAATTGTCAAGGCCTGAGCAAAGTACATCTTCACTCTCACCCACAAAATTTCAAAGTCCCTAGAAGAGTGTTGCCATATGCTCATTGCCTGTGTCTTTTCAGGCTGTCACCCAACTCTACATCATCAGATACCCTGACACAGGCAGCCAGAGGCAGTTCTTCACACATTCCCTCCGCAAAGCAGTTTGTAATATTCTTCCTTTTGGAATTTCTCAGAATCCTTCTAGAATGTTTCCAGAGCTATAGACCTAGGGTATCACAAAAGGGCTCTTCCTTCCTTCCCTGTGGGGAGTGTGTGGGTGGGGGCGTAAGTGCACTTCAGTTTCTGTCACATCTAATTAGGAAGTAAGCCACACCCAGGTTAAATACATTTATGTATATAGCAGAGAGTCTGTCACAGACAGGATGTGTGATATCAACAAAAGGACTACTGAACTGCATTGCTAAAGAGGGAGAAAGAGATGCAGACACAATCAAATAATGGCCCAGCATCATGCAAAACCTTCAGCATTATATATGTCATTAAAGATTCAAGATCAGATTGGATAAAAAGTTTGCATGGTTCCATGATTATTAACAGAGTTGTACAGTATCAGAAAACATAATTTAAAGTGGTCTGGAGAAACCAGGAAGTAATCTCTGTGGTGTGCTTAGTCCTTAGAGTGATGTTTTCAGATCCTCTGGTGCTGGGATCTGGGGCAGGGGAAGGGTGAGAGGGAGTGCTGGAAAAGTAGAATTGTTTAGAATTGGAAATGTGTTGCAATTTCAGAGCATGATCATGTTAAGTTCAGTAAAAATTTGACTATATCTATCATGAAGTTTCCATTGTGTCATGAAATGCATGTGATTTCCAAATATATTATACATCTTGAATGTTTTTCTCCCATCTAAGTGAAAATATCTTCTATTTTCTATTCCAGACATCAAGCCATGGCAACTGGGGGTCTTGGGGGTCCTGGGGCCAGTGTTCTCGCTCATGTGGGGGAGGAGTACAGTTTGCCTATCGCCACTGCAATAACCCTGCACCCAGAAACAATGGCCGCTACTGCACAGGGAAGAGGGCCATCTACCGCTCCTGTAGTGTCACGCCCTGCCCACCCAATGGTACGCTGCTCCCAAGTGTCAGCAACCACCATGTGCCACATGTAGTTTGTATTTTAAAATTAATAAATAGGGGAAGCTGGAGAAACAGCATTAACCTTATACTGCGTACTTCCACCAATGTGCAACTCAATAACAAATGTGAGAGTGATTTTAAAATTATTACTGTAAACAGTAAAGTATGCAGAGAATTGGAAGAAATAATCAACAGTTTCAACTCTATGCATAGATAAAATCCATCCGCACTGGTGCATATAGAGGCTGTGTTAAAAAAAATAAGTTAAGATCTTCTTAAAATTATTTAAGCACACAAGAATGTATCTAAGTTTCAGAACAGATAAGGTAGTAATGTAACATGTGTGTTTCCTAGGTAAATCATTTCGTCATGAGCAGTGTGAGGCCAAAAATGGCTATCAGTCTGATGCAAAAGGAGTCAAAACCTTTGTGGAGTGGGTTCCCAAATATGCAGGCGTCCTGCCAGGAGATGTGTGCAAACTGACCTGCAGAGCCAAGGGCACCGGCTACTATGTGGTATTTTCTCCAAAGGTAACTACACACTGACTATCCAGAAACAGTAGGCATCCTTGGTGGAAATTATTTGGTAGAATTAAGGCTGTGCATGCCAAATGTAAACAGTCATTATTTCGGGGGTGGTTAGATTTTGGAGGGTTTTTGTTTTCATCTCTATAATTTTTATATTTTCAAACTTTATACAGTGAATAAAAATTATTTCATAAATGGAGCAAGTAAATGTTTCCAAGGCTATTTTTGAAAAGTGAAACTCACTGCCAAGGAAGGGAAAGTGTGACCTTAACTTTACAATAGCCATGAAAACAACTATCATGTCCTGAGAACAATTGTAAAGGGGACTTTAAACCAAAGAAAAATTTTCTATTTTTCTATCATTTACTTAAGAATTCCTTTGATGAGTAATGAAGATGGGTTTCAAGATCATCTCTGACCCAGACTTTTCAATGAGTGGATGAATATTAATGAATTAATGTTCCCCTAGTTATTTCTGTTATAATATCCATGTGTATAATATTCCTTATTTTTCACAAGTGAGCATTTTCTAAATATATAGCAGGTTTTTTTTTCTTACAATCAATGTTGTGCAACAATTTACAAATACTGTTTATCTAATTTGCAAACAAGTGCTACATCTAAAACCACTTCTGAAACTTGGCCTTCAGTTATGACATGTTATTGCAAACAAGCTAATGTCCAACTTATATAATTTTTAAAACATCATGTCTTTTTATTTCAAAATAACAAATTTTCATTTAAAAATTTTATAGGGAAATAACACAACTTAAATATCACCTGAAAGTACCACCATGTGGAGAGCTTTTAACCTGTTGAAGTATATCTTCATTTTATACACAGACATTCAGTCAATACACACATATATGGAAAGATAGAGTTTTGTATATACACAAATACAAAATGTGTGGGTTTATTTATATATGTATATATATTTATATGTGTTATATATACTCACATGCACAAGCCACAGTCTATATATGTCTATTTTATAACTAGCTTTTAAACTATATACTAATTCCTTTACCCAAAATATATTCAGTGTCTTCCGATAAGTACTTATCCTCTGACTTCCTCAGACTCCTATTTCTACGCTGATCTGATCGTCTCTATTCTGGCGTCTTACAGTTCAGCACACAATAGGGAGCGCTCTCCAATCATGACATGCTTTTGAATGTGAAAGGTAGATTTTCAAATTCGTTATTATAATAATAATTAGACAACAAAGAAGGATCTTTGCATTCTGGAGCCTGCTCAAGTTCAGCTCTTCACACAAGAGATAGTCCCAAACACCAAATGAAAAGATTATTTCTATCAAAGTAAAAAGCTAAGATTATACTACAGGAACATGTTAAGCATACATAAATGGAGATGTCTCTGGTCTCCTAAGACATGTGGAATTAAGTATAAGAGAGGAAGTCCATAATAGCCTAGATTTCTCCCAGAGCTGTTTTCTGCCAAAATTTGAAAGATTTTCAGTTAGATACTCCTGGAAATCAGTTAGATACTCCTGGAAATCATGGTGATTTTTTTTTTGGGGGGGGTGATATTATTTTGCAATCTATTCCAATCAAACTATTAGAAATTAGACAAATTAGAACTTGCTAGGGTACCAAAGGAACTAAATATACCTATGTACAAATATTTCCCACCGCTAACGTGTTTGTCATGATTCAGGTGACGGATGGAACTGAATGTAGGCCGTACAGTAACTCTGTCTGCGTCCGGGGGAAGTGTGTGAGAACGGGCTGCGATGGCATCATCGGTTCAAAGCTGCAATACGACAAGTGCGGAGTATGTGGAGGGGACAACTCCAGCTGTACGAAGATTGTTGGAACCTTCAATAAAAAAAGGTAATATGATAGAAGCCTTGCCTTTATATGAATTGAAGTAAGCTTTAGACTCTTGCAAAATTGATAAAGGGGTCTCATATTACATCATAAGCTATTTGTAGGAGAAGATCTAATGTGGCTCCCTCTAGTAACACAGTATGAATATGAGAGGGAAAGAAGCAGAAATGAATAAGCTCTGGTTGCTCAGAGGAAACCCTGGGCGCCTCTGAAAGCAGATAAACTGCAGTGGGGGTAAAGGTCTTGCAGTCAGAAAACTGAAAAGAAAAAGTGGGTGACGTTCTACTTTAATGATGTCTTGCAGAACTATTATTTCTGAAATGAAATTTAGAAAAGGATGGCTAGCTTCTGTCTTTTTAAAAACAAATGTTCATTAGGCTTTGTTTTTCTGGAGAAAACATTTCTCCCTACAAAATGTAAATTCATTGTAGTGGTGTGGGCAACATACTGTGTTATAGTGAGCCATCCTGGCTTCTATCTACTCTCTAAAGAAATATATACAGCAATGTCTGTCTCCGGCTTTCTCTTGTGGTCCTAGATTACACTTTTGGCTTGAATGTGTAAGTTTATATAGTACCAATATCTGGCACAAAATATAATGCTGTCAGATAGAATGGCTGAGTTGGCTAAAGAATCTGATGGGATATAGGGTTATTTTTAATCTCCAAACCACTCATACTGAATGGTATTCACTGAGTTACCTGTATTCTTGAGGGAGGTGCTATGCTTTCTTTAACTTGAGAGTAATATGCAAATGATCAGTCTGATGTTATTTTACAAATAAGGAAACTGGGATTCGGAAAGTTTAAAGCTTACCCAATTCTGATGAGTGCCAGAGCAAAGCAGAGGCTATAATGCATAGTCCATTTTGTAAATAAATAAGTAAAGCAGGAAGGAAGGAAGGGAAGAAAGAAGGAAGGGAGGGAGGAAGGGAAGGAGAGAGGGAGAGAAAGAAAGAAATTCTGGAACCAGATTAGGAATAAAATTATTTTTAAAAAATAATATCTTATATACTATATGCTATATATTCTTTCTACGTGAAGTTGTAAACCACTTTCAAAATGCTAAATTTAACTTTAAGTTGTTTGTATTGACAACTAGTATTTGCACATCTTGCCACATGAATAGATGAAGAAATTCATCATAGCAACGAATGAGATGCAGCATAACCACTTGCAAATAGATTTGCTCAAGATTATATTATGGTACAAATTACCTTCTTGGGTATCCCAAAATTAATTACCTTGGCCTGATGTGATTTATATATAAAACAAAAGCACTGATGTTGGGGCTGGAACATTTGTAATCAAGTTCTGGCTCAGTAAGTCACTGGCCATGTGATCTTAGAAAAATCACCTAATTTCTTTACCATGAAATTTCTCAAAAATAGAAAAGAAATAATAGCAATTATCTTGCACTGAATAAAGCTGTTGTGAGGATGAAATGAGGTAAAGTGTATTAAAAAAGTTCATCCAGTTCAAACCTATTCACAAATATGACCCTAATCTTAACTCTTCCCCTCCCTAGATTTTTCCTCATCTCAGTAAATGGCAACTCAATACTTCTACTGCCCAGGCCCCAATTTTGGGGGGTTGGGGGGGTGGTCATGGTTCGCATCTTATTTTCTCTCACACCCCACACCCACCCATCAGCAAATCCTGTCAGTCCAGTTTCTACCATATATCCCAAATCTGATCTGGCTGCCTCTCAGCTCTGTGAGCACTACCACCACCGTGCAGGGGATGGTCAGGTCTCGTCTGCACCTAGCACGGCTGTCTGCACGCTGGTCTCCGTACCCCTTGCCCCTCACAGCCTCATCTTTATCAAGCAAGGAGAGCGGCCACTTTATTACCTAAATCAGCCCACGGCATTCCTTGTCTCAATACCCTCCAGTGGCTTCCGTCTCATGTGTCACTTAGAACCATTGTCCAAGACTGTCTTGTCACCTACAGAGGTACTAAAAGGCCTGGCCTCTTCCCTGTTCCATGTCTCTTCTGTACTGTCCCTTTCTCTTGCTCTGCTCCAAGCACATTGGACTTCCTGACACTCCTCAAACATGGCAGCAGGCAGGCATGTGCATGCTGTTTCTTCTGCCTCCAACACTTTCCCCTAGTAATAAACAATGCTCTCTCCAGAATTCCTTTAGGTCTCTGCCAAATATCACCACCCCAGATAGTGGCTACCCTTTGTGGATAAGAGGACCTCTCCCCCATCCCCACAATTACTGTCTATCTTCTTACCTTGCTCTGTTTCTTCACAGTTCTTATCAATTGATACTGTATGTATTTTGTTTGGGGGGGGGGTGTCTTAGGGGCCTGACTGCCCCTACTGAAATGTCCCCTCCATGAGAGCATGCTTGAATATGAATGAATATATTCCTTCATGACAACAACTGCATTCATTTATGGTTGTCAGGGAAGCTGGTTAGTGTCTGGAGTTTAAACAATCCCTAGTGGTGTATAAAGAAAATGAATAAAAAAATACACAGAGAATCATCGTCTACTAAGGCACTATGAAATCAGAGTACTAATACTCAGACTCACCTGGTGAAACTCAGTTTGGAGACCCACAGCAGTACCGCCCATCTTCACTCACTAATTCTCATCAGTAGGAGACAGGCTCTAAGGAACAAGGATAGATACTAAACAGTTTTCCTGCCTGATTCCATCACCCTTCATTCTTTGTTTTCCTTACACCTTGTTGCCTGGTATCATTTAAACTCTGAACATAGCCATAACCTATTTTCATTTAACTGTTATGAAATATGGTTGGCAAGGGTAAGGATTCTATGCATGGGGACATACTGAAAAGAACACACACCTGAGGTCACGAGACCTGGATTTTAAGCCTAGCACTACAACTAATTAACCCTGGAGTGAACTTGATCAAATACTTTCATGTATCCCCACTTCATACCCTTTTAGTGTAAGATGAGATATTAGCTCCAATATCCCCCAGGACTTTGAAGCCAGTTACTGTAGGCTTGCATTTTATTTATTCATATTGGATATTACAGAAAAGCCCTGTAACAAAGCCTGACCCATAATGTATTACAAAAAACAAAAACAAAGAATCAAGTTAGACAGAATAAGCAACACCCTCAGCGCTGCGTCTTCTCTCTTCAACACTGCAGGAAGCTTTGGCACCTGTCTGGCAATCGCTGTAGATCAGATGCCCAGTAGACAGGGGCCTTCCCTGGGAAGCAGCCTCCCCTTTAATTCAAAGAAAACAGTGGGGCAGGGGAACATGCTTGGATTTTTAGTGTATGGATCAGTTATCCCATAACTTCTAACCTTGAGTGAGAACTGGAAATTAGACAATGCAATTTCACATACATCAAAATGCACAAGGAATAGTATTACTGTTTAAATAAGTAGGACAGTAAAACATGTGGGGACCTTATTCTAAAATTACTTATGAAGGCAAAGATTTTGGCAAAAGATGACTCCTTCTCACTTTTCTCTTGGTGCTTAATTAGCATTTCCCTCCTAGCACTTGTCACGGGTTTGTGGATATTAAAGGCATTTCTGCCTTTGCCCATTTTCCTGAGCAGATGAAAAATCTTTATAGACTTATCTTATTTGTCACTCACTGTAAAGCTTTATTCAACCCATCATAATGTCTTGCAGACACTAAGCACTCAGAAAAAATTGCCAAGGCATTATATTTTTTTCTTTTTATGACAGAATAGTGAGATATCATTACCCAAATAGAATTTTATGTTCCATTTAGTGGCCTTGCCCCACAAAATCCAGAGTTCTAGTGGAAATGGAAGCAGAGACTCTACTCTGTCTCTGGCCTCAAAGTTAATTAAATCCGTGTTCCCAAAATAGTCTGCACATTGGAACAATGTGAGGAGCTTCAAAAGTATGCCTCCTATTCCCCCAACCTCCCCTTAAAGACCGGGATTTAATTGGTCTGGGGTGTGGCTTTGGAATATTTAAGAGATCCCCAGATGATTCTAATGTGCAAACAAGTTTGAGAAACATTAAAGATTTCTATGAGGCTAATTGAAGGCAGATTTTTGTCAGTTTGTGTTTAGATATATCCTATTTTGTGCCAGAAAGAATGTAAAGTAGCTTTGTAAAGCTGATAGGATTTTATAAGAATGGTTAATGACTGAACCAATCTTTGAAGTTAGTATAGATTTTTAAAGGCAGCATGCTAGCATCATCCCAATTTTGAGCATCTCAATAAAAATGTGTACAGTACTACAGTCTAACCTCAATTTTGTCATAAGAAGATTAATTTTTAAAGCCAATTTTGAACTAATCTTTTAAGTACATGAAAACTTTGTGTTAAGATCAGGGAAGACTTTTGGAGAATTTCTATGTGTTTACCCATGTGTTAAATGTTTACTTATTTTCTCTCCTTGTCTCATCACCTTCCCCATGTTCCTCCCCCGTGGACTTTCCTGCCTCCAGTAAGGGTTACACTGACGTTGTGAGGATCCCTGAAGGGGCAACCCACATAAAAGTCCGACAGTTCAAAGCCAAAGACCAGACTAGATTCACTGCCTACTTAGCCCTGAAAAAGAAAAACGGTGAGTACCTCATCAATGGGAAGTATATGATCTCCACTTCAGAGACCATCATTGACATCAATGGAACAGTCATGAACTACAGCGGTTGGAGCCACAGGGATGACTTCTTGCATGGTATGGGCTACTCTGCCACGAAGGAAATTCTAATAGTGCAGATTCTTGCAACAGACCCCACTAAAGCATTAGATGTTCGTTACAGTTTTTTTGTTCCCAAGAAGTCCACTCCAAAAGGAAACTCTGTCACTAGCCATGGCAGCAATAAAGTAGTCCCCGATCCTTCACAGCTGCAGTGGGTAACGGGCCCGTGGCTGGCTTGTTCTAGGACCTGTGACACAGGCTGGCACACCAGGACGGTGCAGTGCCAGGATGGAAACCGGAAGTTAGCAAAGGGATGTCCTCTCTCCCAAAGGCCTTCTGCATTTAAACAATGTTTGCTAAAGAAATGTTAGCCTGTGGTTATGATCTTATGCACAAAGATAACTGGAGGATTCAGCACTGATACCGCCGTGGTGAACAAGAGGTCTACCTAATGCACAGAATGTCATGCTTCAGTGTCATTGTCTACAGGAGTCGAATTATGGGCAGAATCTGCTCTTTGTGACCAAAAAGAAGATGTGCACTGCTTCATATGACAATGGTGACCTTGGAATATAGAATAACTTGGAAGTGATTGAACATCCCCTGGGCCTACAAAATTGAAAAGAAATCACTGATGAATGTAGAATCAGGGGACATTTGAAGATGGCAGAAGAGTCTCCCCTTTGTCACCTACCTCTTATAGAATGTCTTTAAAGGCATCATAATCATTTTCACCCATGATACACAGTAGCTTATTTTTACTGTTTGTAAATATGTTCTTCCTTGGTATGTCACTTTATATCCCTTGGTTCTATTAAAATATACATATAAATATATATATATATTTCTATACAAAAGTGTTTGACCAAAGTAGGTCTGCAGCTATTTCAACTCCCTTCAGTTTCCAGAAAGAGCTGTGGATGTTTTACTGGAAATTAAGAACTTGCTGCTGTTTTAATAAGATTTAGTATATTTTCTGACTACAGAAGATAGAATTTGAGTCAAAAACCATTTTGACAGCAAGCGTCTTCTGAGAAATTCTGAAAAGAAGAAGGATCTCAGTGTATCTAGTCATTTAAATATATACACGGGTCCATCTACTTAGACCTTTGACTGCCTGTATTTTTTTCAGGTAGCCAGCCAAATTAATGCATAATTTAGGATATAGAAGTAGGGTTTGCGTGTGTATGTGACCAGTATTCAAGAGTCTAAAACCTAGTTTACTCATGTTGAAATTTAAAAAACAAAACAACATATTTCACGGTGTTTTCAATTTATATTTTCACAGCTGCTTTCTCTTTCTTTGGCTCCCATCTGGAATCTCACAATGTGTGATATACGTATAAAACACCCAGCTAAGATTTCTCTATCATATCCAACACTTTCAACACTGGTATACCTCTTACCAGCAGGCCTTGAAAATGCATTTGCATTTGTTTTGCTTATTTGTTTGTTTGTTTGTTTGTTTGTTTGTTTGTTTTGTTCAAGGGTTCCATAAACCTACAATGTTTTGTTCTTTCTTGTCAACTTAGTTTAATAGGAACATTAAAGATCATGTGGTAATTAGCCACATCTAAAAGTGGTTATCATCATTAATGTGGTTAATGCAGAACAAAAAGTGGTTAATATTAATAAGACTGTTTCCACATCATAGGCAATAATTCCTTAAATTTTTTTAATATAATTTTCTACTGTACTAAAGATTTTTCCCAACTAGAAAGTATTTGGTTGTACTAGTAAGTGTTTGAGGGACGAAATGTGATGATTTTCAGGAAGTTGTTGCTTTTATTTCCATAGCCTGTTTAAGTAAGTTGTAAGTTTGAATAGTTAGACATTGAATTGTTTTATAATCATACACCTAAAATTCTCTTTTAAGATAGTAAACTGCATACCCCCACATCCCACAGCTCAGAAAATCTAAGGTGTTTCATTTCACTGGGATTATTTTTTTCTTTGTGAAATACTGCAAAGCCAATTGTTTTTCATAAAATTTTATAATATTAATGCCAAACGTGCCTATTGTTAAAGATTTGCATCTATGGATGTTTCAGTTTCATTAAGCTCATGGGAGTTTATTTTTATTGTAAGATATGTTAATATAGAAGAATTATGTAATTGATCTCACTATATCGCTTTCATTTCAGTGGGCCAGGAAAGTGGAGGTCTCACTGTTTTAAGTATTTTCTTAAGAAATTATTTTTTTTAAAAAAATTGGTTTACAAAACCAATAATTATCCTTTGAATTTTCATAGACGCTTTCCTTTAGATGTGGTCATTTTTTTCTTAATAAATTATCAGCTAAAGAAATGAGGCCTATACAAGGCTGGTAACCTATATTTGATGGACATCACCATATACCAATGGCAGAAACCAAAGCCAGTCAAACCAGAAAAACATAAAAATAAAAATCACATTGACCATTTTACTGAATAAAGTGAATGAATAGCGTCCAATGTTACTTTTTCCAGTTTTGAAAATAATTTTAATCAAGTAACTCAAATGTGACAAAATTTATTTTTATCCCTAGTGGTTACATTACTAACAACATTAAAAAATAATTGAAGAGCAAACATAGTTGTCTCTTACTCTGCTTCTGTATAGTATATTCATAGATTTTTAATATGATTTATTAATGATTCATTTTTCCCCCAAATAATGACATTTTATACTTCTCATTGAAACAATCTGAGTGAGTGTAGGGCAAATAAACCACTATTGCATGCTTTTAAGGAGTTTTTTCTACTTTTTTCTTATGAGTATCACTAGATTGACTGAGGAATGTATGTCTAAACTCCTGAGAAAAACGCTACAGACTGGAAACTGAAATTTGGAGAAAGGAAGTGTTCGTTCAATAAATGCAAAGAATGATGACTAAAGGGAAAATCCTCTATAACTCAATCTAATTCAGTTCAGTTTCACTTTGTACTATGTTTTCCACCTTACATAGTTGCATCTTGAATTTTTAAAAAGTCTAAAATTCAGGATGCTAGGGGCTACTTCATAAAAAAAGAAAGGTTTATCAGAAAATGCTCAGGTTTGTAAGAATCTAATCTCACTTACATAATAACTAAGCACTCCAGAATAAGTTTCATGAAGTACAAAGGGAGCCCAAAAGAAAATACCATTTATTTCTTCTAGACCAGAAAGAGTCAAATTAAGCCCTGCCTCATTGTTTAGAGGTATAGGGCTATTGCTATAATTTATTCAACACATTCAACTTCCTTTGCCATCCTGTGGAAACAGTTTTATCTCATTAAACTAAGAATTAAGGGATGAATCACCACCAACAACAAAAAAAGTTGCAGCACTGAAAAAAAAATAATTTATTGTCTTTGCAACTGGTATGTGAATTTGTGTGATAAAATTATTTATTCTTATTTAACAAAAATATGTGCAAATTCTTCTATATTTAAAACGTTTTGCTGTTGTCCTACTTTTTAATTTATGCTTCATGTTTGTGTATAAAGTACACCTTGTGAGTTTACATAATATACAGCACTGGTTGCTTTTGTATTTTTTTACAGAAAGCTGTCTGCATAAAACAGGTGTGTGTATGTATTCCTCATGTATCCTTATTCTGAAACCACCATTTTCTTTTCTAAGGAAATTTTAAGTTTGCTCTTTCATGACTAATAGTGTTCATTACTTGTAGCTATATGAATAGGTCTTTTACATCCCATTAACACTAATTTTTCCAAGTCACAGATAAGAATTCAATCAAACAAGGTACAAGTTTTAAATCTGGGTACACAGATAGCCTAGAAGCTTCCCGTAGACATTAAGATACAGTCAAGAGTCAGGTCCATTCAATTCACTGATAAACTTGGATAAGTAACTACTGATGTATTAGATGAAAGTTGGGTACACACAAGCTCTAAGGACTATAAATGATAGTAAAACCAAATATTGTCTTTTGCTTCTTTAGAAACATCCCCTAAAATTAATATCATTTAGTCTCTAGTGTCTGTAGGATTCTATAGATGAGTATAAACAAATTGGATTTATATGATTCAGATGTTATTAGTCATAATATTTTCTACAGATATGGGGTGTCCATTAATAGAATATGACTTTTTCCTACTACTATTGAATCCCCTGGAAAGATCATAGGATAGAGGACAGGCAGGGTCATCTTTAATGACGTCAACTTGCCTGACTGTGATCTCACAGTCTGATCCCAGCAATAAGGCAAAGCACCCTTGGTCTCATGGCACAATTTACCACATCAGTCTCCAATGCTGACGTTTCCCTATTGACTTCTTCCTTGTGAACAAGGTCATTGGAATGGTTTAGGTGAGGACAGCAGCCAGGTTCAAAGTCCAAGACTTGTGCTATGACTTAAAGTTCACTGTAAAATGAGATGGAATTTAATAATGACTGTATTTTGCCAGTGGTTTATGACTGAATGTGAAATCTCATTGACAGTATTGGTGCACATTACTGATCTCTTCATACTTCAAATTGAGGGCATACCTTATATTTTCAAATATTTCAAAGCTAAAAAATAAATGAAATAACCATGAGTACAGAAGGACCATCTAATGCTGAAATACAGCCAAATTTGAGGTGCTTCATCATTTAGACACACAAAAAAGGAATTTGTATAATGTCTCTATTATTTTTCTCATTTGCCAACAACCTATAGTTTTATATTATCAGACAGATTAACTTAACTGACTAGTATTCTGAAATAAATATTTTTTCTTAACATTCTGTTACAGTGAACTACAGAAATAATTTGTCATCATGAAATGTATCTGGTATCTGTCTATAATGCATAATTGTGTTCTATCTCATTAACATGTAGGAACATATTGAAATAAAAACCATGCGTTAGTCAGCCAAAAAAAAAAAAATGCATATGGTGATCAGATCAGCAAAAAATTCATTCTGGCAAATTTCTGTTTGGTGCCATGATATAATTCTCATTGCAAGCTTTGTGTGAAAAATGAATATGTTGTTAGATACTGGTTTTGAAAGAAAATAAGACTTTAACATACACATTAGTTAGCCCAGTTAATTGCACCTTACTAATATACTAGCACTTTAACAATAATTTTGCTGTCTTAGGTCCTTATTTGCTTGTCTGTTCTACCAATTAACTGATCCATTTGACTAGTTAGGTCAAATGAAAAAATAAATAATGGTCCATCGTCCTATAAAACACTGCCACGTCCTATAAAACACTTAGAGTGACCCAAAGTCTAACACTGTGAGGAAAACTGTGATTTGTAAATTAAACAGGGCATGCTTTTTTACTTTTTTCATTTTCCTTTGGCACATGCAATGAACAATTGTCATCGTTATTGAGGTGCTAACAGCTTCAGTGACCAACTTCAAATGTGGTATTTCTGAATTACTACTTTTTTCCTACATGATTTTATAATTTGCAAGAAAGACCTATAAGCTTTTTCTCAACATAGGACATAACTTGATACTTAAAATTTGGGGAAATAAGCACATCCAATGGTCGTTCTAACTAATAGTGGTCAGTGACAGAAACTATATGTATATCTAAGGACATTGAAGGTGTCATCAAAACTTGGAAAACATCAGGCTGGTGTAGCAGACTTTTGGATGAGTCATGTGTCAACATTTACTATATCCTCAGCATTCCATTCAAACTTTTGTGTATATTTGGCCTGATTATTTTAAACCTTCACAATATTTTATGCCCATAGTAAACACTTGGTTGACTATAGCTCAGCCTTTTCTTTAATAATTCACAATATGTTAGAAAGATTTCTGCTTATACTGAGAGTATATTTAGAATAGAAGATCATGTTGTGTGTGACTTTGTGAGGCTAGACTTTTAATTCAGAAATATATAGTCTCTGGATGGTATTTTTGCATCATACACTCAGGCATGACATAAACATTGTTGGTTCTTCTTGCTGCAATTAAGAGTTGACAAACACTGCTTACATTTTTGTATGACCTATTGATCAGAGGAAATCATACACATGCTTTGTAAATAAACTTTGCAGATAACTAAATAGATTGAAGAAATGTGTTTGATATAAGCAGTGGCACAAATATTTGATTTCTATATTAGCATATGTGAGTAAAGTCAAGTAATGAACCTAAGTAGGTATAACTGAGATCTTTAAATCTTGAAACATGCTTTCATCTTAGAGAAAAACATTGAAGATTTACACACTGTATATAAGATGTAAAATGTAAGCTGCTTGTTACCCTCAATTTTGCAGAAGTGATAGTATGTAATGCAGTTGAAAAACCAAAAATCTTGGAAAACTAAGACGGGTCTTGTTTAAAATGTCTCTTTAGCTTTGGCAAACTTCAAATCTGAATTAACTAATTAAATCATTACTGTGTCTTGTAGCCTGCATTCCACAACAGCTCTGTTATTCAGGTAAACCACTTGAACTGAGCCGTTTGGGACTTATACTGTAATATTTTTCATTGAGGAACAATATCCTATTTTGTAAAGAATTTCCCTATGTGTGACTTAAAACTGTAAAGTTAAACATTGATTTTGTGGTTTCAGTGAGCATAATAAATATAAATTGTAAACTAGGTTAAAGTATGTACTGCATATATGTTTTAGAGCTGGAAACTACTGTCCATTTATTTTATTATTTTTTATTTCAAAATATTAATGGGGTACAAATGTATTCGTTACATGGCTTGAGGAAGGGCTGTAGGTGTGCCAATCACCCAGATAGTGTTCATTGTACCCATCAGGTAGGTCTTTGCTCCTCGTCCACTCACCTCTTCCCCTTGCTTGATTTCCACTGAGTTTTACTTCCCTCTATGCCCATGTGTGCTCATCAGTTAGTTCCAATTTAATAGCGAGTACACGTGGTGTTTGTTTCTCCATTCTTCAGATACTTCACTTAGGATAATGGTCTCCAGTTCCATCCAAATTGTTGTTGCAAAAGGTATTCATTCATTCATTTTTAAGGCTTAGTAGTACTCCATGATGTACATATACCAGCTTTTATTATCCACTCATGAATTGATGGGCACTTTGCAATTGTGAATTGTGCTGTAATAAACATTTGAATGCTGGTGTCTTTTTGATAAAATGATTTCTTTTCCTGTGGGTAGGTACTCAGTAGTGGGACTGCTGGATCAAATGAGAGGTCTACTTTTAGTTCTTTGAGGACTATCCATACTGTTTTCCATAGAGGTTGTACTAATTTGCAGTCCCACCAACAGTATATAAGTGTTCCTTTCTCTCTGTGTCCATACCAGTGTCTATTGTTCCAGGACTTTTTAATAAAAGCCGTTCTAACAAGAGAAAGGTGATATTTCATTGTCATTTTAATTTGCATTTCCCTGATTAGTGATGATGAGCATTTTTATCCTGTTTGTTGGCCATTTGTCTATCTCTTTTGAAAAACTTCTGTTTATGTCTTTTGCCCATTTTTTAATGGGCTTCTTTTTTTCTTTTTTTTCCTTGCTGATTTGTTTGAATTCTTTGTAGATTGTGGATATCAGCCCCTTATTGGATGTGTAGTTTGCGAATATTTTCTTCCATTCTATAGGTTGTCTATTTGCTCTGTTGATTACTTCTTTAGCTATGCAGAAGCTTTTTTAATTTAATCAAGTCCCACTTATTTATTTTGTTGTTTTTGTAATTGCCATTTGGGTCTCAGTCATAAAATCTTTGCCTAGTCTGATACCTAGAAGAGTTTTCCTTACATTTTCTTCTGGAATTCTTATAGTCTCATTCCTTATGTTTAAGTCTTTTATGCACCTTGAATTAATTTTTTTGTAAATAGTGAGAGATAGGGGTCTTGTTTCATTCTTCTGCATGTAGTTATCCAATTTTGCAACACCATTTATTGAATAGGGCTTCTTTTCCACAGTATCTATTGTCTGCTTTGTCAAAGATCAGTTGGCTATATGTGGATGGTTTTATATCTGGGTTCTCTGTTGTGTTCCAGGGGTCTGTGTTTCTATGTTCGTGCCAATAACCTGCCATTTGGTTACTATAGCCTTATAGTAGAGTTTGAGGTATGGTAATGTGACATCCCCAGATTTGTTCTTTTTGCTTAAGATTTCTTTGGCCATTTATGCTCTTTTCTGGTTCCAAATGAAGCATAGAATTGTTTTTTCTAGATCTGGTGAAATATGACATTGGCATTTTAATGGGGATTTCACTGAATCTGTAAATCACTTTGGGTAGTATGGATATTTTAACAATGTTGATTCTACCAATCCATCTGTATCTTATGTTTTTCCATTTGTTTATGTCATCTGCAATTTCTTTCCTCAGTGTTTCATAGTTCTCCCTGTAGAAATCTTTTACCTCCTTGGTTAAATATATTCCTAGATTTTTTATTTTCTTGTAGCAATTGTGAATGGTATTGAGTCTTTGATTTGATTCTCAGCTTGACTCTTACTGGTGTATAGAAATGCTACTGATTCGTGTACATTGATTTTATAAGCTGAGACTTTGCTGAATTTATTTATCAATCCCAGGAGTCTCTTGGTGGAGTCTTTGGGGTTTTTTAGCTATAAGATCATATCATCAGCAGTGTTAGCACCAAGCCAGGCCTCAAGGAAGTCCTAGACTCTGTGATTTCTATCATCCCTTATCCATTTTGGCACAGACAATTAATACTTTATTTTAGAGGACTATGGAATTATTACTTCAAGTTCTTTTTACTAGACTATCATCCCCCAAAGTCTGCCTACTATTGAAATTCTGGTTTTAAATTAGAAACAGCAAGCAACATAATCTATTACTTAATTTTGTATAACTATAAACTTATTCCAGATGTAAAATTTAAAAGTTGGGATGATAATAATGCAAGCATAGAAATTTAAAAAAGAAAGTAAAATTCACTGGCAAAAGTCTGTTTATTTTCTAACAAATATATATTGTTAGGTTTCCTTAATGGCATTAATTCCTTTTAAACCTAAAATCATTACTGTTTAAGGTACATTGCAAACATTGAGTTTCCCTTTCATGTCAAACATTTTTAAATGGTGATACTTTAAATTTTCTCTCTAGTAGGGTTTATGTTTTTTAAAGAAAAGTTTTCAAAGATGTGTACTTTTAACAAGGTGGTATATTAAACTTAGCCATTACAACGTGGCTAAGATTTGAACATCTCATTGGGTCAGGCCCTTTGGTAATCATCCCACAAACTTTCTACCATGAATTTCTCTCTGAGACCCATGTGAGATTGGTCTTATGATTCCAATATTGCAGATAACAGTCGCAATATCATAAGAGTTAATGGTGATCTAACTTTCACCAAGTGCCAGTCACTGTCATAAACATCTTAGATATTCATTATCATATTGGCTTCTTTAAGTGCTGAGAATCTTAAATCCTTATGGACTGTAAATCTGAGGGAGGGATTACAGGGTGGATGTAGGACTGTGTGAGATTAGAGAAATGGGGAGAAGTGTTTAGATGCCCTAATATGTGAATCCCCTGAATAAAAGCAAAAGCAATCCTGAACTTCCAATGAAAATGGCAAGGAAACGATGTAGAATCTGGCAAGCAGCAAAGGTAGAAGCCAGAGCTTAAAGTGGCACAAAAGGTCTGTTGTTTATGAAGAGAGGAGAGAGAATTTGATTTAGAAAACTAGTAAATTGCTGGTAAGGGTTTAAAAAAAAACTTTAGTATTTAGCCTTATAAACTGCTTCACAGCTAATAATGAGCTGCCTCAGACAAGGCCAAAGGCATAAAAATAGTACTGAGGGTAGCTGTTAGATTATGAGTAGAATGAACAAAGAAGATCATTAGAAATGAACTACAGATGTATGTGAAGTCCAAATCATCTTTCATACCTAGATTTTGTTGTGTCTTTCTAGACATATATTTTATTCAGTGTTTTATCTGTTCAAGCAAAGTCATGTTTTCCCAGAGAATAAATGATTATGTTTTTTTATGTAGACACAGGTGAGGGAGTATAAATGATTATATGTCATTATGTAGACATAGGTGAGGGAGTATAGTGGAATATCCCTATTTTTTCTTAGGTCTCTTCAATGTGTATCACATAAAGAGGATAGAATCCCATAGTGATTAACCATCTGGGGCAGTTCCTAACCCAAGACCTCACTCTAGCATACATTCAAAAAAATTTCTGTAATATTTATTTCTCTTTCTACTTCTACATGCTACAGTGCTTTGTCTCCTATTTCAGCCTTCATTAGAGGTTGCCTTAAATTGGAATTACAGGATTTTGTTGTTGTTATTTATTATGAAAATCATCTAAATCTTATAAAGCAAGAAAGTATATTTCTACTAGTTATAAGTAGACTCTGTCCAAAAACATTGCCTGAACTAGTGTTAGGTTATAAGAGGTTTTCATCAACAAAAATGTTGAGAACCATTAACCTATTCATCTTCCAAATATGTCTGCTACCTACCAGGCATTGTAAAGAATTTACCTAGATTGTTTTCTTACTCTCAAGATCCTTTACTATCCCTCTGCCTGTTCAAAGATGTCTCCTCTCTTGTTCCTTGGTTCTTTGTTGTATTTTTTAGGTACTTTCAAAATGGGAGCTCAGAGTTTGGGACTGGATAAGATCAGGCAGAATATACGAAAGCCACAAGAGCCTCAGGCAGAATCCTAAAGAAGTGCCTGAAGCTTGACCAGCTGTGACTATGTGAGACAAAATATTAATATATGAAAACAAGCAACAGATGTCCCTTCTCTCACGTTAGACTAAGACCAGGAAGTTCATAGCTCTTCCACCACCACCACCACCACCTAAGGCCAAGCCACCAATCCTTTCCATCCTGAACAACAGCAAATGGCTCTTCATGAGGCTTCCTTCTTCCTTCATCAGCCAGACTGATCATTGAAAACCATAAGTCAAATCATTTAACTCCTATGCTAAAAATTCTCCACAACTACCTATCTTACTCAAAGTAAGAAACAATGTTCTTTCCATGGCCTTCAGGGCACTCTGGGATCTGGCCTGCCTAAATCTCAGAATTCCTCTTCCATTTCTCACCCCTTGGTTCACTGCTCCAGCTACTTTGCCTCTCTGCTGTTCTTCAAAGTATCAAGCATGAACCATGTCCAGAAGCCTTTGCCTAGAACACTTCTCCATCCACATAGACATTAGCTTCCTCTCTTCCTCCAAGTCTCTACTTAGATGCTATCTGTCAGAGAGGCTGTCCTTGACCACACTAAATCTAATAGATACATTATTCCTTCATTTTTCTTCATGGCACTTACCAGCAGTTGAAATTTCATCATATATTCATTTGCCTGTTATCCCTGTCATATACATAGACATATGAATGTACATACTTTGAGTGCATGTCTTTTTTTTTTTCCACTGCTGTCTCACCAGCTCCTAGAAAGGTACCTGGCTTTTAATAAGTGCTCAATAACTATTTGTTGAATAAATGAGTGAATCAATGAATTGATGGAAGTTCAGGTAGACATTTATCATTAAGAGTTCAGGAAATGGTGCATAGGTTTCAGTGGGTGGGCAAAATGTGATAATGGAAATACTTTCAATAGGTAATGCTGTTATTTTTTTTTTTAAAAAAAAAGCCAAACCAGGATTAAACCAGGGAAGTAGGAGAGCCAGAGTACATAG